AATTCGACATGAGTCGGTAAAAACTGGTAACACCTGGTGTTCAAGGATTTGGGGTCGAGTGTGATTCTTATCCATTTTCTAAATTGGTTGCAATATCATTTTCCAAGGTAGGACTTGATTTTTATATATAAGTAGAATAAAGTGAGTATCTTTTTTTATTTTATTAAATATAATTTATTAGTAAAATATTTCAATTTTACAAAAATATTAGCCAAACTTTTAAAATTATAAAATATTAGCCAACTCTAAGTTTTTTTGTTAAAACTTCCTTTAGACGATGTTGAGCTGAAAACGTGATACTAAATTGTAAGACTTTTCATGAAATGATCAACGAAAAATTGTAAATACAATTGGTTAGCCAAAATCTTAAAATTTGAAAATATTAGTCAAGCCTTTCAAAATACAGAAAATAGACAAACATTTCATGACCAATGCAGTCAAAAGCGTGATCCTACCTAGAAGCGAAAAAAGGGGTAAAATCGTAAAGCGTAGAATCAAAGCGTAAAAGCGTAAGTTTTTTACGCATACTGAAAAATAACTAAAAATCTATTAAGTAGGACATATACTATGTAAAATATGAATGCACAGAATTTAGATAAGTTAATAAATACATGCAATTCATGCCTAAAGTAGAGCAACTTATAGAATTTTAATAATAAGTTCGTAAACATAAATTTTAACGATAAGCCAATTTTTCATCTATGCTAATGAATTCGAGAAGAGCCTAGCTGGTGAATTATTACTCTATTGAAGTTGAAAATGCATCCAAGTACCTGGTATGTATCTTTTAATCTCAAATGCTTCATATTGTTGGTGATTTACTTTTAAAATATACTTTTTATAATTGATTTCATGAAAGAAACACATATTAACGATAATTGATTTCATGCTTCATAATATACTTTTTATAATATACTTTTAAAGAATACTCATTTAGTGAACTAAAAGCGTAAACACGTAAAGCATTTTGGTGAACTAGAAGCGTAAAAGAGCAATTTAGTCCGATTTTATACACTTAAGTTTTTAAGTCGTTCGTTGACGAGGGTTTGTGCCACCTATGAGTAAGAAACACATATGATCGAAATGTCCTTTGCCGGTCAGAGAAACTTTGAAGGGGTTGGAGAATAAGATTTTTTTTCCAGTTTGACTATGTATTGTTGTGTTGTGCTTTGGGTCTTTTCAATTACAGACCTAACTACATTTTGATTAAGTTCTTCAGTCATAGTAAGACATTTGTCAATCTAAATTTCTTTATTACCCTCTCTTCGAATCTTTATACAAATCATACACTTATATTATTTTAACTTATTTCATAAAAAAATGTTGTTTCGTTGTAGGAAAATTACTACTTTGTTGCTGGTTATATCCATGACGTGAGAGTCATTTGGGAATTCTCCCGTTCTTTCTACATTGTCAAACTAACTATTAGTGACAATTTTGCATCATGTCTATATACCCTACAGCTACAGATCCATTGCACGCGCTGTGATAAACTAGGATGATGTCTACTGGGATAAACACTATGGAGACTGGAGAGAAATTGAACTCTATTAGAGACCAATATTTTTCTTTCATTCTTAAGGTTTTATGATATATGTATTAGGGGAAGCAACTCTAATGAATTATATGGAGTTTTTAAATAGTGAAACTTTCTCTTCTTTGAAAAACTATATTTATTTTCCATTCGTATTTCTTTTCTTATTATTATATTGTTAGCATGGTTATTTTCGTAAATTTTTAGGTAAACCAAGACTAATAATAGGATCGTGAAATTCATCAAACCAAGCATGTGATACCTATTTGGTAGGGGTGGCTATACGGTCCGGTCCGGTTAAATTGGCCCAAATTGATCCGGTCCAGTCCGGTCTTTTTGAAGATATAAGGACCGAAGATTGGATTGGATACAGTCCGGTCTTGATCCGGTCCGGTTTTGATCCGGTCCGGTCCCAATTCGGTCTTGATTTTACATTGAGATTGTGGGATTTGAGTGGCCTAAGGCCTTAAAGGGTGAGGAGTTGGTTAAGTTTTGTACTAAGTGCAAAGGTTTGTGACCGTTTATGCAAATTACCCTTAAGTTTTGGGTGTTGAGCTCTCTTATCCGGTCTTTATCCGGTTTTTTACCTCAAATCTAAGCCCAAAGATTGGATTGGATTGTTTACTATCCGGTCCCGGTCCGGTCTCGGTCCGGGTTATACGGTCCGGTTTCCGATTTTTAATCCGGTCCCGGTTCAAATAGCCACCCCTACTATTTGGGCCCATAAAGTGAATGATATAGAAGACACACATCACTAAACGAGCCAATTGCCCGAGGATATATCAACAAGGAATTTTTATCAAATAATCAAACCTATAACAAGAACAACATAACACACTAGATTTTCTACGTGGTATTGTCCATTAGACACTAGCTTTCAGAGGAACTCCTTCGCTGGTTTTAGGCTTTTCTTATTTGTTAGTTATTATGTTGTTTACAACGATATTTATATTGTTTGCTAATACAAATTCTAGATGCAATTACATATTGATACTCATACTTTAACACCCTCCCTCAAGTTGATGTCGTGTTTCAGAAGCTGATCCATCCGATCGACACATTGAACCTTATGTCGAACTCTTCCTTGAATTGAACCCATATGATCTCCTAACCTGCATTTTTATCTTCCCTTTCCATCCACTCCCACCATTGTTGCATCCCTCCTTCCATTTAGAAAGCTGCCAGATGCGCTATTTATTCTCCCTGGTTCCTTGGGGAATGGATCAGGTCAGTAACCTTATGGTGAGTAACCATGAGTAACCCGTCCACATCACCATGACATCAGCATCCTCTCTCTCATGGAAAGCCTTTAATTTTTCCCTCTTTAATCTTTGACGGACGATTTCTCGCTCATTTTAAGTCGAAATTTAATTTTTTTTACACAGTTAGATCAGATTAATTGTGCTCTTCAAAATGATATCCACTTTAATATATTTTTCGAACAAAAAAAATTGAGCCATTTTTTACCAGCCTATACCATATGGTATTGACTGGTATTGAAATAAAAGCATACCTATGTTTTGAAAAACGTACCATGGTGGTATGAACAAACCAATACTGTAGGATGGTTGAATACATGATAGTAGAAGTATATTAATTGTAATTTACGACTTTTAACATTGTATACCACACAATACCACCTCGTACCAGGGTGGTATTGTATGGTATTGTGTGGTATTTTTTGGTCCTGTAATTTATTCACCCAGAAATTTGTAGATCCAATAGATCATGATGAACTCGTCCCTTCTGTGCAAACGTTTTCAAAAACGAAGAAGATACCATACAATACCACCCCGTACCAGGGTGGTATTGTATGGTATTGTGTGGTATTTTTTTGTCCTGTAATTTGTTCACCCAGAAATTTGTAGATCCAGTAGATCATGATGAACTCATCCCTGCTGTGCAAACGTTTTCAAAAACCAATTAAAAACGAAGAAGATACCATATGGTATGCAGTTGGTACCGAGAGGCCAGAATTTTTTTTCCTAAAAAAATATTGAAAATTGATCTCATTTTGTAGAGCACGGTGAACTCGTTCCATCTGTGCAAAAAAAAAAAAATTAAAATCCGAGTTAAAACGAAAAAAATATGAGTCAATTAAGAAAGCTAGTGAAAATAAAAATAGTATTTAATTCTCCGTCCTTAGATCTGGATTTTCTAAATGAAGGGTCCAGATTTGGTTATTGATGGATGCATAACCCATGGTTATGCACCCTATCTTGAGCCGGTTCCTTGATGACGAAACCAACAATATGCCACCGACAACAATGCTCTCGCACCTTCCGATTTGGAGAACATTGTGAACTCGGTCACTTGGGGTTTGGCTCGAACCTCATGATATGGTTCTAAGAAATTTGGGAATTAACATCAAATTGAGGACTGAGTTTTTTTCTTCTTTCATTTTTGGGTACTCTCTTTTTTACTTTTGATGTAAGTTGATTTTGACTTTTTTGTTCGGATTTATTTTTCTCCATTTTTGTAGCTTGTTGTCATCTTCTTCTTTTCCTTTTTTTTGTGGTATTTTTTCATGTTTGTCCCACATTTGTGTGGGTTTTTCCTGCCATTTTGTGGCCTTGGATTTTCTTTTTCTTTCTTTTACTTCGATTTGGTAATAATACTTGGTCTCATCATCCATTAAAAAAAAATGTGAAAAATGCTAAATTGAAACATAAGTACTGGACAAACATGATCAAATAAGGGTGTGCAACAGTTTGGTATGTACTGGAACGTAACGGATCAAATCGACCTTGAATCGGACCATACTAAATCAAATATAACATTTATTCAGTTCTTGGTTCAGTGAACTTTATAAACACTGAAAAAATGGACCGAATTGACATTTGCACCGGAACCAACTAGACCGAATGCACTGTTGATCTGGTAATTGATACTAAGATATCTTTCACTATTGGATTGCGATTCTCATTGATTCAATCCGATACGGATAGTTGCACACCCCTAAACGCAATGCAAAAACAGCTAGATTGACCAACAAGACCTAGTTGGATGAAAATGAAATTGCAGACTATGTATTTTCTAAGCACAAGTTCCTAAACCAATGGTATGTAAAACAATGGAAATAATGTTTTCGAAAATATGTATCAAAACAGTAGCATGCAAATGAAAGCGTAACTAATTAATACAAATAATATTATTTTCGATGATCATAAATTCATAATACAAATAACATGTGATTAACCAATAGAATTAATTTGTTTCCAAATATGATTAGGAAAAGGAAAAATGACAGATCCTAATGGTAACCGGAAAGTTTGGAGTAAATCTATAAATAAACACCCACGGCCTTTCCAAATTGCTTTTGCTTTCCTGTTATTACTCACACTCACACAACACACGTCACTCTCACTCACTAGCTCGCTCTCTGTTTTCCCGCGATCCCGCCCTTTTCCTTCCATCAAAATCGCGTGAGAGATCAAGCTCGCGAGTCGCGATCGCCGACAAGAGAATGAGTAAGTTCGATCTCCATCCTCGCCGCGACGTAGGGTTCCGATTCCTCCCCACCGACGAGGAGCTGGTCGTGAATTACCTTCTCAGCAAGCTGATCGGAGTCCCGCCCCCCTCTGACGACTACGTCAACGACTGCGACCTCTACGGCGACCTCGAGCCATGGGAGATCTGGCACAAGTTCCGAGGCCTCGGCTGCGAAGAAGAAGAAGAAGCCGACAACGATCTCTACTTCGTTACGCCGTTTAAGAAGAGAACCGCGACCGGGTTGAGGATCGACCGCAGCGTCGGATCCAACGGCGGGACGTGGCACGGGGAGGATTCCGGCAAGGAGGCGCAGACACCCGACGGGCTGGTTTCGTGGACTCTGAAGCGGTTCAGCTACAGGCCCAAGAAGAGCAAAGGGGAGAAGAATGGACTTGGGCCGACGACTTCGTGGATCATGCATGAGTACTGCCTGCTGGACCGGCCCATCCCTTTTCTTGGGCTGGACTCTGCCGCCGCCACCAGGCTCGCAGTCTGCCGGATTAGGAAGAAGCAAGATTCTAATTCCAAGAAGAGGAAGAACGACAAGGGACCCAAAGTGATTTTCATCGATCTCGAGGACGATGATTACAACGGCGTCGTAGAGGTGGAATCGTCAATAATTGACAACAAGCGACAGAAGGTCGATACGACGCCGTTTCAAGCGGAGACTGAAAGTTGCTTGTCGGAAGTAAAAGAAGGCTGCGGCGGCGGAAACCCCGACGAAGGAGCAGTAGCCTCGTACGTAGCAGAGCTTGAGCGTTGCTTGTCGGAAGTAAATGAAGAATGCGGCGGCGGAAACGTCAATGGAGGCGAAGGAGCAGTTGCTTCGTTTGAAGGGTGCTTGTCGGAAGTAAGAGAAGACTGCGGCGGCGACAACGGCGGCCACGAAGGAGAACTAGAAGAAGCTTTGTTCGATGCGGAGATTGAAGACTGCTTGGCGGAAGTAGAAGAAGAAGAAGAAGGCTGCTCCGGTGGTGACGGCGACGAAGAAGAAGACGATGGATCGTGGTTGGAAGCGGAGATTGAAGGATGCATGTCGGAAGAAGAGCTGGCCGCCTCTACGACGTCGGATTTCGAAGCCCTGATTCAGCAGTACTTTTCAGCGGGCGCGGCGCCGGGAGTAGTAACGTCGTCGGCCGTCGCAGTCCCTAGCTACTGATAGTTAATTCCGACGTAATTAGATGTTCCGTACTTTTCAGCGTAGAGAAGTATTTTGTTATTAAGGATGTATTATATGTGTCGCAATCTTAATGGTTAATTAGTGGTTCTCGTTCATTAATTGACTTTGAAATTAATGAAGTATATATTGATGCCTGCATGGATAATTTGTACGTAAATGAGATGGCAGCCATTCCTGCCACTTAGTAATTAATGAAGTATTGAAGTATAGGACTAAAGAGCCGTCCTTTACGTGCTCAAATCAGGGAAGATCAATGAGTCAGATGACCACTTATATAGAAATATATAGAAATTATACCCGAAAACCTATCCAAAAGATATAGATTTTGATGTTATTAAAAACCAAATTTATGTGGGGCTTGGCCATAAATGTTTTTCATAAAACAAAATGTATAAGTAGAAAATAATACAAATGTGATAGTGAGGTGGTGCTTACCAAATAAGTTGACAGTAGGGATGACCAGTGGCGGAGCCAGAAAATTGGTCAATGGGGTGTCTTTATCATATCATAAAAAATCACATATACAGTAGAGAAGTCAAGTTTAAATGAAAAAAAAGTCAACAACGCAATACTCTAAATTCATACAATTACATTAAAATAGTTTCACGTACATAGGTTACAACGTCAAACAAATAAGTTTAGTACATACAAGTCAAGACTTACATTCATCAAGTATTACAAATTAGAACTCAGAAGTACCTTGGAATTAATTTTGTGAAACAAACAAGTGAACTTCAATTGGTACTTCATCACTTTCGGTTTTGTTTAAACAAAAGGCAAGAAATTTCTCTATTGTAGAGCTACAAAAGAAATGAGCGAGTTTAAACAAAAGACAACAATTTATTACTATAAATAAAGACGAAAGTGCATTGTATAACAAAATTTACTCGGTTGAGATGGTAAGAAATTCTTTTTGCAACTGAATGATCACTGGTTCGAATTTGTATATATCCCTACTCGATAAAAATTTCTCCAAACCCAACGGGTGCAAGCACCCCTCCTCTCCAAGTGGCTCCGCCACTGGGGATGACAATGAGATCAGATTGAGTCTGATCTCACCAAATTCAAATATAATCGAGTAAGTACATTAAAAAAAACTCAACTAAATAGTCAATGAGTTCTGAAAGAAAAAACCCAATCCAATGATGAGTACCCACATGAGGGGCTAAGATCTGGTGACTAAGGGGGGTCCCCTTAGTCACATGGCTAAGTGAATCTCCACCCTTGCACCTCATTAAAATCCAATGGCCCATATTAATACAATTTAATGAAGGGCAATGTAGTCATTGCATGATTATTTAATTTATTAATTTAAATAATAAACAAAGAAAAATCATTTTAACCGCTGCTGCATTCGCGGTTCCCCCGGTCGGAAAAAAAAATCGCCGACCTTGATTTATTTTCCGGCGTCTCTTCTAGCCGGCGGCGACATTTGCTATTGCGGTTGCTGTCCATTTATATCAATGGTGCTGTCCATTTATTTTGGGCGGTCCATTTAAGGTGAGAGAGAGAGATTGCTGTCCATTTATTTTGGGCGGAAGACAATGTATCGTCCAGAGAGAGAGAGAGAGATATAGAGAGAGAGATTTTCTGGTCGGAAAATTTTTTCCGGCGAACATCGTCGCCGGAGAAGAATTTCCCGGCGACAGTGCTAATTTTGTGATGTTTGTTGACGTATTTTGTAATGTTTGTATGCTTTGTTATTTTGTAATGTTTGTCGGGTTTTTTTGTAATGTTTGTAAACTTTGTTATTTTTGTGCATCATGTTTGTAAACTTTGTTATTTTTGTCAACCATGTTTGTAATGTTTTTTATGTCTAAAAAACAACCTGGTTGACTTTTGGATGGACCTCCTCTATATAGGGATGGAGCCTCCAAAGTCAACCCGGGTGTTTTTTCCCATTTGTATGGATTGTCGGTCTAGTTTGTCATTTTTGTCCACCATGTTCGTACTGTTTGTACGTCTAAAAAACACCCGGGTTGACTTTGGGAAGGAGCCCCTCTATATAGGGATGGAGCCTCCAAAGTCAACCCGGGTGTTTTTTCTTTTTGTATGGTTTGTATTGTTTGTCAGTCTAGTTTGTATTGTTTGTACAGTTCATACGTTTGTAATGTTTGTATGTTTTGTCGCTCTAGTTTGTACTGTTCGTATGTTTGTACTGTTTGTATTGTTTGTACAGTTCATACGTTTGTAATGTTTGTATGTTTTGTCGCTCTAGTTTGTACTGTTCGTATGTTTGTATGGTTTGTACTGATTGTAAATCCGGTTTGTATACTTCGTAATTTTTCATAATACCCAAACTACCCCTGCTATTAATTAAATAGCCCTTCCCACTTTTTAACCATTGGATTGAAGTGTCCAGATCTAATGGCTAGGAGGGACTTAGTCAAGTGACTAAGCACCCCCCCTTAGTCACCAGATCCGCACTCCCCACATGGGTGTATGTGACATAACCGCAAATAATTTCTACGACACCCATATTCTTAGAATTTTGAAAATTTTAATATAATACATTACCATGAAGTATCCATATAATTGAAGCTATTTCTATAAAATCTAATATCGTATATAAATTTTTAAAAACGAATGAAACTCATTCTCAATCCAAGAACTGTAAACACTATATAGACCTTACTCACTCATATCAAACTGAGAGTTAAGGGGTCGTTTGGAGAACAAGATTTCGGCCGTGGATTTACTGAATCTTTAGATTTTGTGGAAATTTATGTTTTTTATTGCTTTTTGTATTGTGGATTGCCCACTGGTTAATGGTTCGATTTTGTTTATATTTTGGAACGGAAATCCACATTTGGTTTTCTTGAATATATTAGTCAATAAAAAGAGAATAGAATTTACATGTGGATAATGTATGTTTTGGGGTTAATTGCATGGTTGGTCAGTGAGATTACAAAAAACGTTCATGTTTGGTCACTACAAATATTTAATTCTATTCGTGATCACTAAATTTACTAAAACATGTCACGTTTGGTCACCCTCCGTTAGTCTCCGTTAGCCTCCGTTAACGGCGTCAATTTTTTGCTGACTTGGCTAACAGAAATGTCCAGTCACAATTTTAACCCAAAAAACTTAAAATATAACCCGCCATGTCATAAATCCAACCCAACCCATGACCCAACCTAACCCGACCGAACTAAAAAAGCATTACAGTGATAGAGCTGGGTTATCGCATGAAGGCTACCTGAACCATCGCACAAGCTTCATCTGAAATACCTAGAACCACCGCCGTCTCTGCCGAAATTGTCCGACTCGACGACGTCACCCAAACCGACGGCGTCATCCATGAAATCGAGCCTCCTCATCCCTTGGTCCGTCTAGGAAGACTCCAACCGGCGCACGAATCTCAGAACCCCAAACCAGAAATTGAAACCACAAAACCCATCACGAATCAAAAACCCAAAACTCAAAAATGGAAACCCTGAAAACAGAGATCGGGATGGGTTCGTCGATTGCGGCAGAGACGGTGGATGTTGGGGTTCCCCTAGGTTGATTGCATTGGCGATCTGCTTGGATTTGTCTGGGTCGCCATCGGAAGAAGAAGAAAAGTTTCTGGGTTCTCTTGGGTTGATTGCAGGGACGATCTGTTTGGGTATGGTTGAGGATACTTAATTAATGATTGTCTTGAAGCTTAATTACAGCTCTTCCTCTGTTTGCCTGTTCTGTAGCCCTTCCCCTGTTCCCCACACCTTTCACCATCAAACCTAAATACAAAACCAATAATTAGATTAACAGTTGTATCCAAAACCAATGTGCCCATTGATATATATATATATTCCCTTACTTGATCTCCACCCACATTTCATTTCCATTACCTCCTCCGTGGGAGCCGATCACACCAGAGAAGCCGGCCGGAAAAAGGGTAGAATGGAGTTGTCGATTTCCAGTCAAAGATTGTTTAGGGAGAAATCCGAGATCAAGCGGGAAAAGGTTGATGATGATGATGATGGCGATGATCGACCGTGTCTTCAATTGTTCGATCGTGTCTTCAATTTGGAGATGAAGAAAGATGGGGAAGATGAACAATTTCGAGGGAGACGAAGAGGAAGAAGGTTCGGGTCAGCGGGGTCAATTGGAGAAGAAGAGATTGGGTAATGGGTTGGTTTTAATGATGTGGCAAATTTTAATGACATGGCAGGTCAGATTTTATTTTTATTGGGTTAAAAATGGCTGATTAGGTGCTTCTGTTAGTCACGTCAGCAAAAAATTGACACCGTTAACGGAGGCTAACGGAGACTAACGGAGGGTGACCAAACGTGACATGTTTTAGTAAATTTAGTGACCACGAATGGAATTAAATATTTGTAGTGACCAAACATGAACGTTTTTTGTAATCTCAGTGACCAACCATGTAATTAACCCGTATGTTTTGAGATACTAGACAAAAGTAATTGAAAAGATGGATTCAAAACCCTAATTTAGGAGGTGGCTTAAGGTTAATATGCAAATTTGAGTACCATGCCAAATTGTATACTTATTTTTGTATTAATTTGGCGACATGGCCGAGCAGTAAGGCGGTGGAGTGCAAATCCTTTTTCCCCGGGTTCGAATCCTGGTATCGCCCGAGGTCGACCGATAAGAGATCATTTTGAATCATAGTTCTAGATTTTTGTTCATTCCTCATTGTAATAATATCTCGTGGTTTGCAGCGATAACCTAGTATATCTACTATATGATCGACCATTATCTAAAATATGCACAGATTTCAAAATTCTAAAATCTACGGATATAAAATGTCTAATAATCAGAGAGATTCTATATCTTAATTCGTGAGCTTTTTTTCTCTTACTTTTTCTCTTCATTTTATTTATTTATTACATTAAATATATTTCACAACAAAGTTTTTAATATTCTCAAATCCCTCTAATTTTGTTTTATTAAGGATTAATATATTATTAAATATAATAATATAGTTTTTATTTTTATTGAATGTTAACAATCATAGTTATCAAACAAGAAATATT